GCCGGCGACTAATGGCAACCCAGCTCCAGGTTGTTCACCATCTTAGCTGCAGAGAGCAGTGTCACTGGCCCTCATGTGGGATCGGACCCGAGGCCCTGCTGCTCAGAGCTGGTGTCCCAAGCCAGCTCTTAACCAATGCGCCACTCGGCCGGCCTGGTGCACGGGGTTTTTGTGTGAACATGAGTATTCATTTCTCTGGAGTGAATAAGTGCCCAGGAGTACAATAGCTGAGTCACTTAGTAGTTGCATATCTAGTTTTATCAGAAACTCTTTGTCCAGTTCTACATCCTGAAGATTTTCTCGGCTTTTTTCATAATTTTACATTTAACATTTCAGTTTGTGATCCATTTTGAGTTGATTTTTTTATGAAGTGTAAGACTTAGGTTGAGGTTCTTTTTGTTTTTTGGCCTATGGATGTTCAAATGCCCCAGAACCATTTGTTGTAAAAGCTATCTTTCCTCCACTGAATTGCTTTTGCATCTTTGTCAAAAATCACTGGGCATATTTGTGTGGCTCTATTCCTGGGTTTTCTACTCTGTTCCATTGATCTATGTGTCTGTCCTGCCCACATCACCCTGTCTCTATTACTGTGGCCATATGGTATTGGTCTTAATATTGGGTAGAGAGATTCCTTTCATTTTATTCTTTTTTTTTTTTCAAAATCGTTTCAGCTATTCTTGTTCCTTTGTCTTTCGGTATACATTTTAGAATAAATTTGTCTATTGCTACAAAAAAATCTTCCTGGGATTTTGGTAGAAATTGCATTAAATCTGTATTTAAATTTGTGGAGAATTTGTTGAGTCTTCCAATTTATGAAGATCATGTCTTTCCATTTATTTAGATCTTCTTTGATTTCTTTCTTCAGCATTGTGTACAAATCTTGTACATGTTTTGTTAGATTTATAACTACTTCATTTTTTGAGCAATTATAAGTGGTATTGTATTTTTAATTTTGGTGTCCACCTAGACATTGTTAGCATGTAGAAAATACAGTAGATTTTTGCATGTTTATCTTGTATTCTGCAACTTTTATTGAACTCACTTAGTTTTAGGAGTTGTAAATTCTTTGGGTTTTTTTTTTTTTTACAACTTCTGCAAATAGGAACAGTGTTAATTCTTCCTTTCTGATCTGTATATCTTTATTTGCTTTTCTTGTCTTATTGCACTGGCTAGGTCTTCCATTACTACTATGTTAAATAATAGTGGATATCCTTGCCTGTTACCGCCCCTAGTGAGAAAGCATTCAATCTTTCACAATTAAATATAATATTAGCTGAAGGGATTTTATAGATATAATTTATGAAGTTGATCAATTCCCTTCTATTCTTATTTTTCTGAGAATTTTCACCCAAGCATGGGTGTTGAAATTTGTCAAATGCTTTTTCTACATCGATTGATATAAACAAGTGATTTTCCTCTGTTAGCTTGTTCATATGGTGGATTACATTGATTGATTTCCAGATATTGAACAGCTTTGCTTCTCCAGAATAAACCCACTTGGTCATGATGTATAATTATTTTTATATATTGCCGAATTCTATTTGCTAACATTTTGTTAAAGAATTTTTGCATCTATATTCATGAGTGACATTGGTTTGTATTTTCTTTCTTTTTTTTTTTTAATACTGTCTTTGTCTGGTTTTGGTATTAGGGTAATACAATGAATTGGAAAGTTCCCTCTTCTATTTTTTGAAAGAGATTGTGCAGAAAATGTATTAATTCTTCTTTAAATGTTTAATAGACTTCTCTAGTGTAACCATCTGAGCTTAGAGATTTTATTGTTGGTGGTTTTTAAATTACAAATTCGATTTCCTCATATAGTTACTCAAATAAAGTTACTCAAATCTATTTCCTCAAATAGAGCTAGTCAAATGATGTATTTTATGTTAAGTTGTGGTAGTTTGGGTTTTATCTGACTTGTCAAATTTATGTGTGTAGACTTGTACATAGTATTTCCTTACTAGCCTTTCGATGTTGGCAAAGGCTGTAGATAGCCTGTTTCATTCCTGATATTAGTAATTTCTGTCTTCTCTTTTTCTTTGTAAAGAGGTACTTTGCTAAAGGATGCAATTTTATTGTTCTTTCCAAAGAGCCAGCTCTTTGTTTAATTGACTTTATTGTTGTTCTGTTTTCTGTTTCACTGATGTCTGCTCTCCTGTGCTCTCGTTTCCCTCCTTCTGCTGGCTTTGGGTTTATTTTGCTTCTCTTTCTCGAGGTGCTGGAGGTGAGAACTTAGATGATTGATTTGAGACTTGCCCTTTTTTCTAATGTTTTCATTCAGTGCTGTAAAATTCCCTCTCAGCTCTGCTTTAGCTACATCCACAAATTTTGAATTTTGATTGTATTTTCATTTAGTTCAATTATTTTTTTATTTCCCTTAAGATTTCTTCTCTGACA